AGCTGTATAAGGAGGAGAACTTGGTTTTAGAAAAAGAAAACAGGTAATATAAAATAGGGGTCATGTCAGGAGGATCTGGCTGGGTGGGCATCCAGATACAGATGCTCAGGAAGCAATTACAAATATTTTTATGAACTCAGTAATTTGGGTTTTAGATATTTAAGCTGTCACATCAGTGAGTTGATCAAACCTCAAAGAATCCCTTTAGTTCACAATTAGAGGCAAGAGAGGAACCAGTGAGGAAATAGCAAAAAAGACCAGAAGAACAGCAATAATGAAAAAACTGTGCCAAGTTGTGGAAATCCTGGCATCAAGGTCAGTCACTACTCTTAAATCATTCAGAGAAGTCAAGAGTATAGATTGAGAACCAGCAATGGTGCTGGTAATTTTGGACAGATTTGTTTCAGGAAAGTAGCATGAGTGGAGCAATGGTTTTGGAGACTGAGGAGTAAATGGTGAAGGAGTAAAGGAAACCAAAAATATGAGATATGAGAGGACTGGAAGGAGCCAGTGGAGAGGGAAGTCTGAAGATTTGCTAAAAGAAGAGAGCAAAGTCTGAGAAGAGTGTGCAGTAATAAAATGAAATGCATATGTGGAAAGACTGACCTTCGAAAGAGGAGGAAATCATCCCCAGAGTTAAACAGAAGGGAGGAAAGACAGAAATTTAAGGATTTGATGCATGACACTGACAACATCCATGACAATTCAGCTGTTTAGTCTCCATCTTTGAGGAAGAAAATAAATGACATCATGTGCTTTGAAAGGAGGAGGGTGGAGCAGTCATGGGACATGGACATAAGTTCTGGTCTCCTGCCACATCTCACCACATCACAGATATCTTTCATATAGATCTGAAGCAAAATAGAAGAAGTAATAGTGATGGTGGGGCTGCTCCTTGGTGTAATGCATTTTGTCACAGAAGAGGTAAACTTAGTGCAAAAAGCATAGGGAATGGAGCCTCTTCTATTTGCTGAATGCCTGTTGCACAGCAACCTGGCTCCTCCAAAAGCACTAGACTCCCATCAGACATCACTCTATTATTTTTAAGTGTTAACACAACTGTGTATCATTCCTCATGTGTAAAATCTGATTTGGCATAGTTCACAGAAATAGAAAACAACCAATTCTATTCTTGTGGCTTCATATACATTACATTTTAGCATCTCATAATGAGTTTGAATATAGGAGAATTTTATTTAGTTTAATGAATGGTCTTATGATTATGGAATAATTGGAATATTGGTTTTTAAAGGGACTTTAGGTACATTCAGAAAATCCCATTAACCCATCAATGTTAAAAAAAAAGATGCCATTAGTGTACAGTCTAATTTCATAATGACTATTAGCTAGACTTATGGAAAGAGATAAGGCAAGAATTTCATTCTTCTGAATACCCATATATAAAGTAAGTACAGCTATTAATATACCAATACATATGCTATATGATAAGGATTTTCTAGTACATGTGCTTAGGAAGTAATATATGGCAGTTATTCTTGAGAAGTCAATTATGAAGAAAAAAATACAGGTTGTCCTTTCTAAGACTAGGAAATCTATATCAAAAGAATTAAAATAAACAAGCCTGAATATATAGAATCATAGAAGCAATGGAAGTTAGATTTGGAAGGGAATTTAGGGAGAATTTTATGTAATCTCTTCCCTGTAAGACTGAGGACTCTGAAGCTCAGAGGAAGAAATAGCTTACTGAAGAGTACAATCTAGTTCAGCCACAATCTTCTGACCACAGTCACTAGTGAGTCCCCCTCTGTCACAATGACAAATTTCTGTCATGCTTCTGTGGAATTATTTCCAGGGCCAGAAGAGTGAATATATGGCATATACATTGCACTCAGTGAATTTTTTTAAATTATTTTATTTGAGAGAGAGAGCGAGCACACACATGTGAGAGAAGGGGCAGTGGGGGAAGGAGATGGAGGGGAAAGAATCTCAAGCAGATTCCCTGCTTAGCGTATAGCCTGAGGGGCAGCTTGATCTCCAGACCCTGAGCTCGTCACCTGAGCGGAAACCAATCAACTGAGCCATGCAGGTGCCTCTGAATGTTTGTTTGTTTGTTTCTTTGGAAAACTGTATCTCTGTTCTTGTTACTGATGCCCCTGGGAGTTAGAGAATCACCCTCCATGTGCAGCTTCTCTAGGACCTAATAAATCTATACAAGGCACAACGACTTCAGAAAAATACAACTTAGAATTTACTGTATTAACTTATTCATTATTTCGTAAGAATTTCCTAATAACGAATCAGGGGTTATTCACTCATTACTGCAGGTGATAGAACCAAGATTAGTAAATTTGTATGACTTGTTCAAGGTCAAACAACCAGAAATGTTGGAGTTGGGGGGAGGGAAGAAGACGACAAGGGAGGAGAAATATCAAAATGATGTGAAACTCTTATGGAGAATGCCGGTACCAAAAAGAGATCAGAATCCACATAATAAAGGAAGGGTCTATGTTTTCCTTGAGGAGAGCTATTTGTGGGCACCAAGCCTAGGTTGGCTGCAAAGAAGAGAAAGCAATGTTACACGATTTGGAAGGAGGTGTTGACTTCTTTGTGTGTTTGAAGGGTGATGGCGTAGGAAAAGCACACGTATGGAAATCAAGATACCTGGAGTTTAGTCCCAATTCTGCTGTTACTTTATTGTGCCCTTAGAAAAGACCCTTCCTGTGTTGTGCTTCAGTTTTATCAGTTTGCAATGAGATGTGTTCAACTTCATGGTTCTCAAATATTTTTCTTCCTGTTTATCCATTTCCATTGGTGGAGACTACCAATAATTTGAGAAATGCCTGAAGCGAGATTCTTTCTTGCCAATAAAAAACCTGATTGCTTTTTTTTTTAACAAAAACAACTTTTTATACATTCTTTGCTAATCATATATAGTTATTATACATGTAATTGATTATCTTACTAAGTTGGATTATGGAGTTTTTCTCAGAATATTTTTTTTAAGATTTTATTTATTTATTCATGAGAGACACACACACAGAGAGAGAGGCAGAGACATAGGCAGAGGGGAAAGCAGGCTCCATACAGGAAGCCTGATGTGGGACTCGATCCTGGGTCTCCAGGATCACACCCCGGGCTGCAGGCGGCGCTAAACCGCTGTGCCACCGGGCCTGCCCTTCTCCCAGAATATTTTAGAAGAATAATTTGTCCCTTTACACCTTGGTTATATCTGACAAAAGTTTCATTGACACAAAAAAATGACAACTGTTTTCCAGTGTATGCATCATCATCAAGGATCACCACTGATCTTGGATTAGATTTTGTCAGTAGTAGCTATCAACACACTGAAGGGAATTGTTGGTTTATTTTACGTTTTTTTTTTTTTTTTGAGAGATTTTTAGGTCAGAGATTTTAATCTAGAATTGAAAGCTCTTGGGGTACTGAAAAAGTGGAGAAATTACAAATATTATTTTGCAACTGATGCTGTTTTACCATGCAAATGAAGTCCAAATCTATCAACTAAATAATCAACCATTGGGTTAAGTTCAGAAGTTTTAGTGCAAAACTAAGTGCAGAAAAAAAGTGCAGTTTTTTGCACTTGCATATTGTTTTTGGGTATTTGATGAATGTACAGAAGTTGCTTGTAGCATTTTATCTCGTCTAGAGTTTTAGCGTGGTGTTGATGATGTGTGAAGAATTTTAGGGAGCTTATGAAGACTCTAAAACAATAGGAAACTCATATATGAGTTTGTGAATATAGCTTTCGTCGCTTCTCAAAGGGATCACAAAAGGTGACAACAAAGAATAAAGAACCACCACTCTACAATATCCCACAGTAACATGCCACAATTCAGGTATTTCTTTAGTAAAATGGGAAGCTGATTTGAATTCTAGCCCTAAAATTTTTAAATCCTTAACCAAATGAGAGTTAATAATAGACCACTATAAGTGTATGATACCTTTTTTTATACTTGAATCATAAAAAGCCAAATAAAATAAAAGCCACCATGGTGTAAAACATTTTGATATAAATTAAAAGTAACCTAAGTAAATAAAGGTACATCATATTCATGAATTAGAATATTAGATAATTTTAAGATATTAATTCTCCTCAAACTGATCTACAGAGTTAATGCAATCCCAATTATAATTCCAGCAGATTTTTTTGGTAGAAATCAGTAAGTTGGTTCTAGAAGTTACAGGAAGCACAATGTCTAGAATATTCATCCATAGGAATCTTAAATAATAAGTACAAAGTTGGAGGATTTACAGTATTTCATGATTTACTGTATAGCTATTGTAATTAAAATAGTGTGATACTGCTTATGGAGAGACAGATGGAACAATGGAATAGAATAGAGCCTAGAAGTAGACTCTCGCTTATCCAGTCAAAGGCACCAACACAATCTGGTGGGAAAAGAAAAATCTTTTCAGTAAATTATTTAACTGGATGTTCATAGGGAAAAAAATTGAACCTCAAGCCTTACCTTACATGAACAAAAATTAATTCAATACGGATCGTATGCCTAAATACACATACTAAAAGAGGGATTTAAGGGAATGAAAACACTATGAATCTTCTCAAAGTTACCACAAAATATTTCCAACTTCTTCAAAATATTGTTTCATAATTCTCTTTCATAATTAAGTAGCTATACCCAATACTTAGAACACATTTCACTTCCATCTGCGTGGCTCTGAGATAATCAAGCAATCAGCTAAAAAAAGATTTAATTTCTACAATAAGTTAGATATAAAATCTGGCAAACATACATTTTCCTATTACTACGTTTATTATTGGAAGTTCAGGGCAAATCATTCACTTACCTTTGATAAACGAAGTTGCCTAGAATTAGCTCAAATGATTCCAAAAGAGATTTTCTGGTCTGCAACATAATTTTGTTACATAGATGAAACTGTCTATACATTCCCCTACTTGGTTCTCTTCCTTCTGCCCATTTCCAAAAATAAAAAATAAAACATAACAATAATAATAACTACAACAGTAACAGTGACCCATGCAACACAAAGTCATTTACCGGAGTCCGTAGAGAACTGTTCCATCAGGATGAAGTCGTATCATTCGATTTTTCACTGTAACTCCATGCACAAATGATTTCTTGTCATTCAGAAAGTAGGTGTCTGGCACCCAGAGTTGGTCAGCTACCCTGTTGTCTAATGTGAGGTTTAGCGGGATTCCAGAATAAGAAAGCCTTTTGTCTTTCCAAGACTGCTGGAAATACATGGTGAGTGTATAATCCTGTGAAATAAATGAAAAAAAAATTGATTATCATTATCATCATCATCATCATCATCATCATCATCGAAGACCTTTTGTTATGAAAGTGATAGTAGGTGGTATTGTGTATTCCCAGAGATCCACCCTCCTGCTAATCCTGAAGAAGTTACATCTGAATACACAGAAATTTGCACCTCTGTGTATAGGGCAGCCAGTAGGTTAGAAGAACTGGAGCAATAATTGAATGCATGCACAAGCATTCACTCCAATGTAGGGCAAATCCATTTAACTGAATTTTAAGGTTTGAAGTTAAGGTAGTGATAATGGGTGAGGCCATAAATGAAAGTTATGCTGAGACATCCATGTTCATCCATGTTCAAAAACCTGCCTTTGAATATTATATTTATGGTATATTTATGGTACTATTATGGTACTATTGTGTGCGCAATAATAATAACTAAGAATTGGTGTGCTGAAAAGGAGAGGGTGTTTTCCAAACTGCAAATGCCTTTTGAATAAATACTGCCGTTTGCATTATAAAGGTCGTCAATCACCATTATCTGGATCTTTCTAGCAAATTACAACTTGTCTACTGGTACTAAAAAGTAGTTTATAAAGCACGTTTAAATGGAGATATTTATTTGGCCTGAGAACTGAAATCTGTGATGGAACTGCTCAACTATTTCTCTCTTATCTGATTCCTGTTTTGCTTTAGGAATTGGTTTGAGTTCAGAGCTGGGTTTGTGCTTGAGTTTGTTTCCTCACCTCTTGTAAGAGGTAATACTGAGGACATCCCTTTTTACCTTTTTTTTTCTGCCGAGATTTTCCCTGGCAGTGAGAGACAGGAAGATTCAGGCTCAATAAATAGATCAAGCTATTAGAGAGGAGCCATGATGATTATGAGAGTTTTAGTTATCTATTTTTAAAGAACCCTATTATAGAAAGTGTAATTGTCCATTAAAAAAATGGTAGCAGGGGATTCCTGGGTGGCTCAGCGGTTTGGCGCCTGCCTTTGGCCCAGGGCGCGATCCTGGAGTCCCGGGATTGAGTCCCGCGTCGGGCTCCCGGCATGGAGCCTGCTTCTCCCTCCTCCTGTGTCTCTGCCTCTCTCTCTCTATCATAAATAAATAAATCTTTTAAAAAAAATGGTAGCAATAGAGACACCTGGGTTGCTAACTGGTTAAGCATCTACCTTTGGCTCAGGTCACGATCCTGAGGTCCTGAGATGGAGTCCAACATCGGGTTCCCTGTGGGGAGCTTGCTTCTCCTCTGCCTATGTTTCTACCTCTCTCTGTGTGTCTCTCATGAAAAAATAACAAAAAATAAATAAAATAAAATAAAATAAAATAGAATAAAATAAAATAAAATAAATAAAATAAAATAAAATAAAATAATGGTAGCAGTAAAATCATAAAGTCTTTTAAGATGTGAGTCCCAGTGTAATAAAAACAGAAAGTTCATTTTTGCTTTTAAAGGATATTTATCTGTCAGTAGTGACTGTGAATGCTTTAGCAACAGTTAAGAAAACACTGCATAACTCCTGCACAAGGTCTGTGAACTGCCTATGTTGTATATACCACTAATTGAGAAACTCTGACTCACATCATGCCTTACATCTGGGCAAACCATAGTTTATTTAGAACACTTTATGGATCTATATTATATGCAGTTCTGAAAAATCGCAAATATAAGACAATATTTGTTCTGGATAATGAATTCCAGGGTCCTTTAACCATTATACTCAAGAATACTTACACTGTTTACTCAGAAGCCATCGTGCAATAATTCAAAGCCATTCTTTCTCGTTCATTAGCTCTTCACTATTAATCACTCAATATCCCTTAAAGGTCTAAAAGCTCCTTCCACTTTACCTTCATTTAACAAGAAGAAAATCCACAGGGTTACATACAATTCCCTTCTCAATTGCTACTATTCTTATTTGCATTCTCTTCAATTTCTTAACACCTTTTTGGAAGAAAAATGAATTGGACAGATTCTGGGCCAGAGATTTCAAAGTACCTTGATTCTAAGATCTACCACATATACTCATGCCTGAACCACAAGTAACTAACTTAACCCCGTATTGTAAATGCCTCATTTTTAAATAAAAATAATAGCACTTTCTGGCTAATTGTGAACATTACTTGGGAAAATTATGGAGAAGCCTCTTTAGAAACTGTAACATGCTAAACAAATATATTATCTTCAAAATTGTTGCTATTTAAAGATTAGTATCATACCTCCAAATTACTTTGAGTGTATATATTCATTTTCATAAGCATTTCTATTTTTAAAGAGATGTTTACGAAAAAAATTTGTAGGCAGAAGGACTCCACTGACCATGAAAATAAGCAATTGTCTGTGATAAATTGCAAGTCTTGGTGTTCAGTTCTTGTTTGTAATTCAGCCAAAGTAGGAAAATTAATAACTAGTCAAAGACATGTTAATGTAAACTTTGCCATGGTGATCAGCACAGTCAGCTTGGAACACATTGTTTCAGTACTCATGCCCAATAGTCATTAGCTTCCAGATCTTCACACGTGGGACAAAGAATTTCCTCACAGTGAGACCATGGGCAAAATGCTTATTCCATCTTTTCCTCAATAAAGTTTTAATGTGTATTGGCGAAAAAACATATTCTTGTAAAGTATACAGGGTTATAAAGGCAAAATAATACTCATGATAAACGCTATGATTAAAATACGAGTTTGTGATAAGTCAACAATGGGGAGTAGAAAGGAGAAAATAGTGTAACATGAGTAATCTCTGCATAGATCTAAGTAAGTGTGTGTGCATGAGTGCATGTATGTGCACGTGTGTAGACCTTTTCCCTTCTTTTTCTGGAAATGGTTTTGTTTCCTGTAGAGAAAGAACTATATACATGCAGTGAGATCTTTGCTCTGCACAACTCCCACTCTGTTTTCACTAAATATTGACTAAAAATCACATCACGGTTCTAAATTAAAGCAGTAATTTACCCTATTTGCAAGAAGAAGTAATTCACTGAAGAAGTATTTCTGCTTGTATGTTTTGGAACTGGGTGATTTGGCACAAGTATCCTTCAGAACTTTTCTTCTGAATTTCTAGCGTTACTATCCTAATCTATGACCCGATTCCATGACAAATGGAAATATGGGCAGATGAGATTGATAATCTTAATGAAAACTTTTTGAAGATAATGATAATCGTGGTGATAATGAGGAACATTATGGAAAGACCTAAAATACAGCCATATCTCCTTTTTTGTACTATTTGTACTTTAGTGTATGCCTAACAAGAATCTCCTTCTCAGAAAGGGGAACCCTCCTGCACTGTTGGTGGGAATGTGACCTGGTACAGCCACTCTGGAAAACTGTGTGGAGGTTCCTCAAAGAGTTAAAAATAGACCTGTCCTACGACCCAGCAACTGCACTGCTGGGGATTTACCCTAAAGATACAGATGCAATGAAACGCCGGGACACCTGCATCCCGATGTTTCTAGCAGCAATGTCCACAATAGCCAAACTGTGGAAGGAGTCTTGGTATCCATCGAAAGATGATGGATAAAGAAGATGTGGTCTATGTATACAATGGAATATTCCTCAGCCATTAGAAACGACAAATACCCACCATTTGCTTTGACGTGGATGGAACTGGAGGGTATTATGCTGAGTGAAATAAGTCAATCGGAGAAGGACAAACATTATATGGTCTCATTCATTTGGGGAATATAAAAAATACTGAAAGGGAATAAAGGAAAAAGGAGAAAAAATGAGTGAGAAATATCAGAAAGGGAGACAGAACACGAGAGACTCCTAACTCTGGGAAACGAACTAGGAAAGGGAGGTGGGCGGGGGTGGGGTGACTGGGTGATGGACACTGAGGGGAGCACTTGATGGGATGAGCACTGGGTGTTATTCTATATGTTGGCAAATTGAACACCAGTAAAAAATAAATTTATTTAAAAAAAAAAGAATCTTCTCCTGGGAATGCTCTGTGCTCTAGTTTTCATAGCTTTTCATATCTATTATCACATTTTGTTCTTAAAACCTTGTGAGATAGGCAAATTCTCCGTGAGAGAATTTATTATTTACATATTTGAGAAGCTACTGTATTTTAAATAAATTATTCTATCTGCATTTTAATAGAAATATTATCAGTGACATCTGACTATAATGGTCTATGTTCGTTTTGGTGTATTACATCTTTAGATGGAAAAGAAAGGCTTAAATTGCTGTATTTTGTTCTCTCATACAACAGATTTTCTATTAATTCTTCATTAGTCCAAAGCGCAAGCACTCAAGAAGGATAGAAAATTTTCAGAAAGAAATTAGAGGTAGCAATACCTTGACCAAGAACACTAAAATCATTTTGATTCCAAGTGTATTGACAATTATTCAACTAGCTTTCTCAAGTAGGCAAGCTACTCTGAGAAGAAGAGTGACGTATTTAGAAACCATGGGCCGTAGGGGATTCTCTGACACTGAAGCAAATTAATAGAATTAACGGGTGTGAGTTGGATAATGAAATTGGTCAGGCTAATTCAGGCATGAGAGAATTTGATTCATTGAGGAAAAGCAAGAGAAAAGATACCCCATCAGTAGTGCTCAATTAAACTCCAAAAGGACAATTATTTTAAATCTAAAAATGTTAGGGGATAAGAAAATATTTATAATAAATAAAGATAATCCTTATGGAGAATAAAAGTTAAATCAGTGGTTTTAAACTCCAGGCAGTTTTGCTCCCAGAGGACATTTAGCAATGTCTAGAGATAGTTTTGGTTGTCACAGCTGGGAGTAATGGTGTGTGTTACTGGCATCTGTGGGCAGAGGCCAGGGATGCTTCCCAACATAATGCACTGGACAGCATAGCCCCACAACAAAGAATCATCTGGCTCAAAATGTCAATACTGCCAAGGTAAGAAATCTTGCCTAAGATGAAAATATCTTTCCTTTTAGTATCAATAAAATACTAGAAAATCTTTTATCATTATTTAATCATGAAAAATATGTATGTTAACATGTCCACCTGAGCTTTTAACA